AGTTTTGTATGTAAACGATTGAACACATAATTTGAAGTAAGTTAACCGAGAAATGATAGACTTGCAGAAACTTTAAACCTATTAAAAGATCACTTAGATATGTCATAATGTTGGTTGTAACGAATGGTAAATTTTGGCCATCCAAAAAATGGAGAATCAATGTCATATGCTCATAAGCACATCCCCCAATCCAAAATGAAAATGACCCAATACACTTGGTGGCGAAATGACCTAATTCCCTTATCAAAATACCGATTACTACCGTATCATCTCGATTCATAAGAAATAAAATTTTCATGAAAATTCAAGGGATTTTCTTTGCTTTGCTGATGATAACCTAAAACCACCCAACAGTAATCGTACATGGAAACATGACTTGTACTTGTCTTGCATTCATATGTCTTATGTGGATGCGTAGAGTTCATTCAACTGTTCATCTACGATGCCCCATTGTCATGACACGACAAATGCCTGAAACTGGTTGATGTCTATGATCCAAAGAGAGGCGACTTTAGGACTTGCACTTCGTGAATCAATAGAATTCGTTTCTCAAGTATCTTGTGACGTAAACAAATCATTACAATTAGAGCAAAAGTCACCAAAAATCTTAAGGTATGCCCATTGTGATACATTTACCTTAATTTTTTTTTGTGACACCAAAAATTCCAAACTTGTACCCGTGTAATACATTTACCCTCCCTCCATCAAAGTTTTATCAATGAAAAACGTTAAAACTCTGCCTACATAGACATCATAAAGCAAATAATGTTGATGTAACACCCACGTTACTTAAATCAAATCCAACAGAACCTTAATGTAGGGTAAGTATGTTGAATAAACACAAGTTTAGGGTTTTTGTCACAAGAAAAAGTTTAGGGTAAATGTGTCACAATGAGTGTCACCAAAAAAAAAGTTCAAGCTAAATTTGTCACAGTGAAAATAGTACGGGGCTTTTTGTGACTTTTTCCCCGAAGAAATATGGGCAACTTCATTTCTAAGCCCACAAAGGAATGCTATTTTCTTAGGTTTAGGCCTGGAATCTCATGTAATTTCACTGAAATTAGAATCTTCTTTGACATGAAACGATAAGAAGATGAGTAATTTTAAGATGCCCAATGACAATTAATTAGGTAAACAACGATTTCTGAGCAAAGTAACGTGCACTTTGTATCTATTACTCCTTTTGTCCCATACATTCTTCTCTACAAGTACACGATTTATTATTTCGCTTTAATTGCAAATGCGATCCTCCAAACTCTTGAGGGGCTTAAGATTTCTTGCAATTTTCCGAGCATGAATTCACACAACCATCGACTTTCTTGGCATCTGCAATAAAAGAAAGTACATTAAAACCCATATTATGCATTTCCAAATATTGGAATACCAAAAAAAAAGATAATTAAAAGAACCTTTATTAGCTATATTTTTTTCCAAAGTCGATAATCAATCAATATGCACCTACACTAAGGGTGTTCTTTTCCTAGTTTTTCATCGTTTGATTCTTCGGGAAAATGGGGCTATAATAATATTTTTCGTTGTTGATAAAAATAAGATCCATGCTTTTAAAAACTAGAATTCATTAAGACCTCAATCATCGTCATTGGCCATCAAAGCTTGGAAAAAAGGACTGCAGAGGACAAATCGAGGTCTTCATGCCCGAAAAATCTATTTTATGGTTTAATAAAGAATATGTAGACCAAGCTCATCTGCACATGATTAATAATAATATGGTGATCCACTTGATTAATATTCAAAATGATATTGATCTTTGTGATTTACAAACCAGGTAATAACGTCTCCTCAATGCCCAGACTTATCGCATAAACCCAACTCTCAAGGACCAGTCCCAAGAATACATATGTAAGAAAAAGTTTATAGTTTCTTGTTAACAAGCGCAGGAAACTAATTTCATGTCCAGCCAAATAAAAGTAAACTCCTTGAAAGAAAAACCAAGCTGTCTGCCAAGCAGACGGATCCCAAATGTACAAATAATAGGAAAAGTGTCAAAAAAGTCTTAAATCTTTGGCATTGGTGCCAATTTAGTCCTAAACCTTTTTTTAGTGCCAATTCAGTCCTAAACCTTTTGTCTTTGTGCCAATTCAGTCATTCCGGCCAAATTTAACCAGATTTTGCTAACGTGGACGCCGGCCGGCCGGCAGCGGATCACCGGTACTAACGTGGATAACTTTTAATAATATTTTTATTTTCTTTTTTTTCCCTCCCCTCTCTCCTTACTCTAGCTGGTTGCCAGACTGGCAACCGGCTAGAGGCCAGAGGCCGGCGAGGTTGACCTCGCTGGCCACTGGCGATGCTTGCCCTCGCCAGCGACGGCGAAGGCGAGCCTCGCCATGGCTGAGCGAGGCTAGACCTTGCCAGATCTAGCGAGGTCGTGCCTCACCCAGCTGCTGGCGAGGCTCAAGCCCTTACCAAAGGCCTTCGACCTCACAGCCTCCAGCGAGGGCTCGAGCCACACTTGAGGTTAGGCGAGGCTCGACCTCACCGGAGGCCGCGAGGTCAAAGGCCTCTGGCGAAAGCTTGAGCCTCGCTCGCCCAGCACGAGGCCACCCTTGCAACCATCCGGCGAGGGCGAGCCTCGCCGGCCTCTAGCCTATGGCCGATCGCCGATCCGGCAACTGGCTGGAGGAAGGAGGGAGGGGAGGAAAATAAATAAAAATTCAAAAAATATTAAAATATTATTAAAAGTTATCCACATTAGCGTCGGTGGCCGATTGGCGTCCCCGTCAGCAAAATCCAGCCAAAATTGGCCGGAATGACTAAATTGGCACAAAGACAAAAGGTTTAGATTGAATTGGCACAAATGCAAAAGGTTTAGGATTAAATTGGCACCAAAAAAAGGTTTATGACTAAATTGGCATCAATACAAAAGGTTTATGACTTTTTTGACACTTTTCCCTACGAATAATAGAGATAGTAGATTTTTATTCCATGAAACAACAGTAAAATTCTCTTGCTTTTACGAGCAGTCTAGTTATCAAACAAAAAGTTGAAGGTTTTAGCTTATCACAATTGATGAACGAAGAAAAACGTACATCTTTTCTATTCTAAAAGGTGAAGGTTTTGTTTTCGTACTAGGATGCAGTTCAAGACATCTGGACACCATGCAATCGAGGTTGCATTGGCTTTCGAACGTCACAACCTCCGATACCCCTATGCAATTCCTGTAGCACGTGAGATAGCAAGCCCTTTGGTTAGGGATCACAGAACATTCAGCCAAGCATTGGACCTTACACAAGTCCGATTTAAATCGGTTCCCCTCAGTGAGGGATGCCTGCAACGCTATCATGGCCACGAGCATCAGCAACACAAATTTACCACAACTCTTGACATCCATGTCTGATTTGTTTTCAAACGAGTAATGATTCACGGTCTATTTATTGTATTTTGGTGTAAGAGCGATGTGATTCTACTATATATTTATAGATGCAGGATACTGGGATAATCTTCATTTGTTTATATGATAATGCTTATCTATGGATTATTTCTACTTTCTTTGTATGGAGGGTGAGTATATGGATTTTTCAGGAAAGATTTATAGTCAAATCCCAAAATCTCATTACAATAAGTTAAGATTTTTTGTTCAAAAAAAAGAAGTTAAGATTTTCTTTCCTTCTGGGGCCACTGCCACTCCCATTTTGACTAAATCCCCATTTTCCCTAAAGAGACAAAATTGCCTAAAAAAATCCAATAGAAGTTTAAAATGGTGGGCCTAAATTTATTGTTTTTCCGTTTTTCTCTAACAGATTCTCATGGCTTTTCTTTTCTTTCTTAAGTGGGTATCACCATTCATACTAAAAGCACCTTGCAATCTTTTTCTTTATTATTATCGTACTTTACCTCTATACGCTTTAGCACTATAGAAGAGAGAAAGTTTCAAAATACTTAATTCTCACGTAAAAAAACTACTTTAAAGATTTCCCAAAGTAAAAGCACAGTTACATTCCAAAATACGCCCACTGTGATACGTTATCTTAAACTTTTTTCTGTGATATTAAAAATCTCAAAGTTATATCTATGTAACACATTTATACTCCGTCAAGATTCCGTCAATGGATATCGTTAAAAATTTGCCTAAATGGACGTTAGAAGGTAAACGGTGTTGATAGGGCACCCGCATGACTTAAATGAAATAAAAACGATGTAGTTTTAGCTGAAAAATCATCTGACAGGAATTTGATTGAAAGTAAATATGTCGCATTAGTACAAGTTTTAGGTTTTTTATGTCACAAGAGAAAATTTAGGACAAATGTGTTCACAGTGGGTATAGTTTTGAATTTTTGAGGTCACAATAAAAAAAAATTCAGGATAAATGTGTCTCAATGAATATTTGGTGGCTTTTTCCCTTATGCTTATGTCCGTTTTCAATAATTTAGAGTGCGCGAATCCCATGACTAATTAGTGGACCACACTCCATTAATTTGTTTGGTGACTCGTTACATTTTTTTGTGACTCGCTACATTTGTAAATGGATAGTTGCATATATTAAAGTACTTGCATGCAAGACGAAATGAAAGGCTTCTTAGTGGTGCTGAATCCCAATATATAATAACAAATCACTCATTATTGGACTAGGATACCGAATAGATATATGGATAACCTCTTGCATATTCTTAAAAAAAGGAAAAAAAGAAAAATGACTGTTCTACTAGTATTATTCAACCACTTGTGAGGTTGATGCTTATGGAACCTTTAAGCATTATCATAGAGGAACACACAATTTTTCTTCAAATTTTTAATCACTTATTGTTACATATGATTATCAAGAGATGTCTACATGGCTACCTCCACTTAGGTTGCATGTTTTTCTATGGAACTATCCTTTTAACTAATGTGAATGAATGGCGTGCTTTTTTTTTTTTTGGAGGATTAGTTTTGAAATACCTCTGGACATACTCTCCTAGGGCGGCCCTCGAGAGGTAGGTCGTGAAAACAAAGGGCAATATTGTTAGATCATTGTGTTAATGAGTTTTAACATTAGAGGGAGTAAAAAAACCATAGCCCTTTTAAAAAGACCAATGACAATTAATTAGGTAAACAAAGATTTCTGAGCAAAGTAATGTGCGCTTTGTATCTTGCATTCCTTTTGTCCCATACATTCTTCTCTTCAAGTACACGATTTATTATTTCTCTTTAATTGCGAATGCGATCCTCCAAACTCTTGAGGGGCTTAAGAATTCTTGCAATTTTCCAAGCATGAATTCACACAGCCTTTGACTTTCTTGGCATCTGCAATAAAAGAAAGTGCATAAAAACCCACATTATGCATTTCCAAATATTTAAATACAAAAAAAAAGATAATTAAAAGAATCTTTATTATGTATAATTTTTTCCGAAGTCGATAATCGATCAATATACACCTTCACTAAGGGTGTTGTTTTCCTAGTTTTTCATCATTTGTATCTTTGGGAAAATGGGGCTAGAATAATTTTTTTCGTTGTCGATAGAAATAAGATCTATGCTTTTAAATATTAGAATTCCTTAAGACCTCAATCATCATCATTGGCCATTCAAAGCTTGGAAAAAAAACTCCAAAGGCAGGAATCGAGGTCTTGATGCTCGAAAGAACTATCGTGCTGGTGTATTAAAGAATATGTAGACCAAGCCCATGTGCACCATTAAGCATGTGAGACCCACATGATTAACAATTTGGTGATTCACTTGATTAATAGTCCAAATGATATTCTTCTTTATGATTTACAAATCATGTAATATCTTCTCCTCGATGCCTAGACTCGTCCCATAAACCCAACTCTCAAGGACCAATCCCAAGAAAATATGTAAGAAAAAGTTTAGAATTTCTTGTTAACAAACATAGGAAACTAATTTCATTACAGCCAAACAAAAGTAAATTCCTTGAAAAACGCAGGCATTTTCTGAAAAAAAAAAAATCAAGCTGTCTGTCAAGCAGATGGATCCCAAATGTACGAATAATAGAGATAGTAGATTTTTATTCCATGAAACAACAGTAAAATTCTCTTGCTTTTACGAGCAGTCTAATTATCAAACAAAAAGTTGAAGGTTTTAGCCTACCACAATTGATGAACGAAGAAAAACGGACGTCTTTCTATCTAAAAGGTGAAGATTTTGTTTTCGTACCAAGATGCAGCCTAAGACATTTGGACACCGTGCAATCGAGGTTGCATTGGCTTTCGAATTTCTCAACTTCCGATGCACCACCGACACAGTGATTGTAGCACTTTCGAAAGCAGGCCTTCCTGTGAAAATTCAGAGCACATTTGAACCCGCAAGTTCCCTTACAAACGGTCGATTTGAATGAATTCACCTCGGTGGCAGATGCCTGCAATGCTATCGTGGCCACCAACATCAGCATTACCAATTTAGCACAACTCTTAGCATCCATGGTTGATTTATTTTCAAATGAGCAATGATTCGTATTTTATTTACTCTATTTTGGTACGAGAGTGGTGTGATTCTGCTGTTTATGTAGATGCAGGAGACTAAGATAATCTTCATTTATTTATAGGGTAATTTGGCTTCAACACTTGTTCATCCGATAGTATTGATGATGTGTAAAGATAAAATTCTATCCATCTTTATTAAACAAATAATTTGACCACACGGGTCGAGCTCAGTTAATGCCTATTGATAATTTTTACTTTTTTTGGATGGAATGAGAATTATTTGAGGATCTGGTTTTTCCTAGGATTTCTTTTCTTGGGGGCTACTCCCTATTAGGACTAAATCCTCCATTTTCAGAAAAAGACAAATTTGCCTATAAAAATTAAATATAAATTTAAAATGGTGGACCTAAATTTATTTATTTTTCCTTATTTTTCCATTTTTACTTTTTCTAGGCAGATAGATTGTGACATAGCTTTTCTTTTATTTCTCAAGTGGGTATTACGATTCGTACTAAAAGCACCTTGTAATCTTTTTCTTTTTCGTTTTCTTTATTATTATTATTATTATACTTTACCTCTATACAGAGAAATTTTCAAAATACCTAATTCTCCAGTAAAAAACACTACTTTCAAGATTTCCCAAAGTAAAAGCACAATTACATTCCCAATTTGAATATAATAAAGGAAAAAAGCCATCAAAAATCTCGAATTATGTCAACTATGACATATTTACCCTCAACTTTTTGGACACCGCTAATATAACTGTACATTTTTTTTAATCTGGTAACGGAGCAAGGACAGCCACACATTTCACTTTAGATGGAAAGGGCAACCGGCATTTTACCGAAAACAAAAATTGATAATACCCAGCAAAGATAGTAGATTGTGGACTTTCACTTCTTCTTCTTTTTTTGGTGTATTTACCTACACAACAACAAAAGTTCTTTTTACACATTAAATTCAAATTAATCTTTCTTTCTAAAAAGAAAAGTACCAATCTCTCTTAATTTTCTCAAACAAAAATAAGAAGTATCTAGCGTAGAATTTTCGTTGTAATCTGTCCACATATTTATTTCGTCTTGAAATAAAGATTATAAAACCGATCTTTTATAATATTTTTCAAATGAAGGAATTCGTCTGACAATAGATTAATTGATGAAAGTTGTGACATCCCGAATTTCGGCCCATAGTTGGGATTTATAAAACGTGTAATTCGTCAGTGTGCTTATAGTAAAAATCTCGCCTGGGAACTGATCACTCCCGGTTATTATTTTAAAATTGAGATTTTGCTAGAATCGCACTCGATCGAATTTGGCCGTTATTTAGAGCCCAAACTTTGGTGTCGAATTTCTTGGAGTTTCGGGACGAATTTAATTGGATGGTGTCGATATTATTGTGGACAGTCTCGAGATTACCTGGGATATGTGAAAAGTGGATTTTTGACCGGGTGCGGATTTGGACTAGTAGACCTCCCTCGTGGTAGTTTGATTTAATTAATTCGACCTTTGTCCCTTATTCTATTCTAGGATTAATTTGGATCGGTAGATCGTTTTCGATTTTAAATATGGGCCATCGGATCGCAATTAATATTTGATTGAATGTTTATTTAGTTTTCTCTCTCTCTCTCTCCGGTCACTTTTCCCCTTGCGCACGTCTGTCCCCCCCTTGTCAGACCCATCCACTCTTCTCTCTCTCTTCCTTTTCTTTCTTTCTTCTTCTTTTCTTTTCTTTCTCTCTTCTTCTTCTTCTCCGTGGGTCTTCTCTTCCGCCGCGATCGCTCCGGCTTCCCGCTTGCTGCTCACTGGACCAGCCATTGACCACCGTCCGTCGTCGCCTCGCACCGCCGTGCCGCCCGACAGAGCCGCTGTCGCCGCTGTCGCCCGCGATCGCCGCTCGCGCCCTCGCTTCGCCTTGTCGCCGGTCTCCCGCACGCGAGCAAGCGGTGCCCCTTGCGTCCCGCGATTATCCGCGCCGCTCGCCCGCTTAGTCGGGCCCGCCCTCCGTCGCCCGGCCGCCCGCGACGCCGGCAGTGCCGCCCGGCCGCCAAGCGCGACCTCCCCTTTCCCCCGTTTTCCTTCCCCGACGTTCTCCCTGTTTCGGCCCCGGGCTTCGCCGCCGCCACGTACTGCCGTTCCGGCCGCCGCCGCTCCGTTTCCACCACCCAGCCTTTCCCCCCCACCCCGCCGCCCTGCCGCCCCCCCCCCCCCTTGGCCGCCACCACCGCCCTTCCCCTGTTTTTCTCCCTCACCGACGCTCCCCTGTTTTGGACTCTCCCCGGCGCCGCCTCGTCCAGCCGCCGCGCGCCGCCGTTCCGGCTGTCGCCGCTGCTCCGTCCGCCACCACCTAGCTTCCAGCAACCTTACCCAGTCTCTTGCAGCCGCTGTGCTTGCCAGGACCAGTCCAACCGCCGTCATTGTCGTCGTCGCCCGAGCGTCCCGAGCCGTGGCCGAGCTCGCCTAGCCGCTGCCCAGCCAGCCCAAGCATGCCCAGGCCGTGGCCGGACTGCCCCGGGCCGTGGCCGAGCTCCGGCCGTCACTGTTCATCCGCCCGTTACTGTTCATCCGGCCGTTTACTGTTCATCCGCCTGTTTTGAGCCCGTGTGGGTTTTTCCCAGGCCATATTGAAGTAAGTGACTTTCTAAATCCTATTTAGTACTTTGGGTATTTTATGACTTGTCTCGGGCTTAGAACGGTTAGAGCGTGATTTAATTTAATTATATTATGATATAATTGTGCTAATTGGATTGGATAAAATAATGTGCATGATTTGGGTAATCGTACGTGGCCGACTTGAACGTCGGGTTTGTGGATTGACGTGGCGAATTGTGAATTGGATTGAGTTGTGAATATGGATGGTTTAATGCAATTGGCGTGAAATTGATTGAATTGAATGGCGTGTGCATGCCTGTCGATTATAAGCCCGGATTGATCGGAGGGCTACGGACTTGGGACGTGTTGACGGCGGTCCGTGTGAAGGCATGAATGGCCGGTGTGCCAAATGGATGCGGGCTTGAGACGTGTTGACGGTGGCCCGTTAGAGGTGTGTTGGACCGGGACGTATTTACGTCGGTCATTGGAAATTGAGCCCGGATTGATCGGAGGGCTACGGACTTGGGACGTGTTGACGGCGGTCCGTGTGAAAGCATGAATGGCCGGTGTGCCAAGTGGGCCCGAGGCGCAGATGGCGCGGCAAGTGAGAATGGACCTCGAGGCGCAAGGGGCGCGGGTCGTGAGAAAGATGTTCGGCCACGCATGCGATTTGAGTGTGATTGAAATGTCTGGTTGAGTGTGACTGAATTGGCTGGTTGAGTGTGATTGAATTGGCTGATTGAATGTGTGGTCGAATTAGTAAGATGAATTGCGTGCAAGTGTGGTTGGCGTTTGAGCAATTGCGATGTGCTATTTAGTTACTATTACTGCATTACCATGTTATGACTAACGTGCAGTGTTAGCATGGGTTCGATGGTGAGGTAAGTATAAGGATGCGATTTTATTTTATATGTTATGGGGTAGATTGCATGTACGACTTGTCTGGGTACGCATTGGCCTATGTGGGGTATAGGGGGTTGCTTATTGAGACTCGTTCTCACGGTTATTATATAACCACTTTCAGATCCGCGACCGTGATTGATTGGAGACGCCACCAGGGTACCTCGGGCGTGGAGGACGGGTCAAGTTGCCCCATATTTTTGTGTGCCCCTCTTTTGTATAGTGAAGTAGGATATCCAAACCACTACTCCGTTTTGATGTTGTGTATTTGGAATTATTGTTTTGTGCTATCCCTTCGTCATATTTTATTGTCCGGGTTGTTTTATTTCGCTTCCGCTTGCGTAGTTCGTTTGGGTCGGCGATGCGTCCTGAGACGTCGCGTTCAATGATCGACCATCGAGGGGTGATCGCGCGCTCGTAGGGTGCGGGGCGTGACAAAAGTTGTGTTATCACAGACGTTGAGATAAATTATTCAATTGTAGATACTAGTAATCCATGAAAGGGATTGTAATATTAGGACACATCAAATATGCGTTCACTTTACACGTGTTATGGAGTCCATTAACTTATATAATGAGATTTAAAAAATTTGTTAGAGCCATTTCTAAGATGGCCTCAGAATTTTGAACTCAAAAAGAAAAAATAGCTAAGAGATTTTTTGTATAGTTTTTTTTGTGGCCATCAGGTATAAAATCACAATAAATTAATTTTATACAGATAAAAAAAATCATAGCTATTGATCATGTTTATTTTACAGTTTCTCATAATGAAAGATTTAAATCCAATTGGAAGATTGATAGTAGAAAAAGCAATCAAGTTAATCTATCACGCTTTCGACCAAAAAAAAAAACCTATGACGCTGAACCGGAATAAATAAACCATCTCGTACTTCTAAGTATCTAAATTGTGATTGTTTTTCCTTCTTTTCTTTTTCCTTGTTTTCATTGTGGCCAACCTTTTCTAAATAATAAAATTTAAGCAATAGAACTCAGCGGGATTTGCCAACAAGAAACATTGCATCAAGTGGGATTCTAAATTTCTTAAGGAAACCGACTAAACCGAGCAACCATGTAATTTCCGAGCATCGAGATTTCAAGCCTAGCACTAAGGTCGCTGGCTGAGCTTCACTTGGTTTGGGGTGAGGGCATCGCGAACCTCATTGACCACGGGCGAGATTTCAAGCCTAGCACTAAGGTTCAGAGTTCCGAAATCTAGAGCATCAAGATTTCAAGCCTAGCACTAAGGTCGCCGGCCGAGCTTCACTTGGTTTGGGGTGAGGGCATCACAAACCTCGTTGACCACGGGCGAGATTTCAGGCCTAGCACTAAGGTTCAGAGTTCCGAAATCTAGAGGTGCCAATGAAGGTTGAGGACACAGGAACATAATTTATTTAAAAAATACTTTCTAGCAACGTCCAATATTTGATGAAAAAAAGCGACTCAAAGTGAGAGAACAAGAATTGTAGAATGACTTAATGTGTTTAGGCCGGATGATATGCGTCTCTTTTTCTCCTATCTTCTGCCTTAACGCTTGGGAGCCAATTAAACTCGTTAATCAGTTGCCTCAAGGGAA